GCCCAGCAGGTCGAGGCGGCAGTGGCCAGGAGCGGCCACTGCACTCCAGTCTGGGTGACAGAGTGAGACTCCAACTCAAAAAAAAAAGATACTGTGGGCAACACACAGTGGACAGGGAAAAGTATTCTAATGCCCAAGATCCCACTGAAGCTGTCAGTGTGCTGGCCAGAGAAGAGAAAGCAGCAGTCACCTTTGTAGGGACATGATAGTATACACATATTGCTTGCTTTAATCCAAAACTCCTGGTCCTCCAAGATGCAACTGAAAAAATACACTAGTCAGATACACTTGAGGAATACAGCAAACCACAGATCACTATCTCGGTGATTCACCGTGACATAAAGCTTTGCGATTTCCTGCCTTAAAGATAACTGTTTAACTCAGTATTTCCAAACTCAATCAACAACTTTTCCCTTCATATTACTCATAAACATCCCATGGAACTAATGCTCATGGAACATGGGTATGCTGCCTGAGGATCAATGTGCCCGGTTTACAACCAGATACCCTGTCCCCAAGGCTGCTTAGCGTCTCCGCCTTGTGTGTCATCTGACATCCCCAGGATACCGTCACCTGTAACTGCACACCTCCCACATGTCTCCCATGCACATAGCTTACAAAGTGCTATCACACTTGTTATCACAGCGAGGTTTTGAGTCTCTCAATAGTCCTGTGAAGTAGTAGACAAGTAAGACAGGCATTATTAAGCCAATTTTTTTTTTCCAGTAGGAGTCTCTGTCACCCAGGTCGGAATGTACTAGCACGATCATGGCTACTGCAGCCTTGAACTGCTGGGCTCTGGCGATCCTTCCGCCTCAGCCTTCCAAGTAGCTGGAACTACAGGAACACACCACCACGCCCGGCTACTTTTTTTATTTATTGTAGAGACCAGGTCTCGCCATGTTGCCTAGGCAGGTCTCGAATTCCTGGGCTCGGGGGATTCTCTTGCCTTGGCCTCCCAAAGTGCTGGGACGACAGGCGTGAGTCACCATGCCTGGCCCCTTCGACTGATTTCAAAGATGATGAAACAGGTTTGGATCAAGAAGTGACCGGCCTGGTAGTGTGCTGGTAAATATTTAACAACTGGCTCTCCAGAAGGGGAAAAGCCCTGCTTCATGGCATTCAGCAATCTCTGTAGTGCACACACTCCCACCACAGTGCATTTTAAGCTACCAACAGTTCCACTGCACCCTGGCCCTGCCCAACATGCACACAGGCTTTAGGCCAGCCCCATGCTTCTATCAAACATTCTCCTATGCAGAGAACTCAGGACCAGTTTCCAAATCCTTTCTCTGATCAGACTCCATCTCCAACATGCAGAGGCCGCCTACCCCATTGTTGGCTGCAAGCCAAAGGTATTTCACAGCTCTCTGCCCGTCCAGGTATGGCTCCTTGGTGAAAAGCACCCCGAGGAAGGCTTGGGCCTGGAGTCGAGGAGGAAGGAAAAGGGCATCTTGGTCACTTTCAGGCTCCACCTGCCTCAGAGATCTCAGATCTCACCAATGGCACTCACCTCTCTCAAGCCGGAGTCTGCAGCCTGCTTCAACATTGACACTGCCTTCTGACGCTCAGGGTCCTTCAAGGAGGCTGGGTCTTGCAGTAGGCACCTGGCACAGCGGTACTGAGCCAGGCTGTGGCCCTGGCTGGCAGCCAGTTGGTAATAAAGGACCGCCTGGGGCACAGGGAGAAACACCCAGTCAGCAGGGGACTCTGTAAGAGACTTCTACTTTGAGTGAAATTTTTACAAGTTATTTTAATTAAATAGTACATAATAGGCCAGGCACAGTGGCTCACACCTATAAATCCTAGTACTTTGGGAGGTGGAGGCAAGAGGCTAGCCTGAGCCCAGAGACCAGCCTGGGATAGCTAGCGAGACCTCATCTCTACGATAAATCAAGAAAAATTAGCCGAACGTGGTGGCACATGCCTGTAGTTCCAGCTACTTGGAAGGCTGAGGCAGAAGGATCTCTTGAGCCCAGCAAGCCAAGGCTGCAGTGGCCATGAGTGCACCACTGTACGCCAGCCTGGGCAATAGAGTGAGACTCCAACTTAAAAATAATAATAATAATAATAATACATAGTAATTATAGATTAGTCAAAATAATTCAGGTAAGTCAAATTTTAAAAATATCAGCCAAAAACAGAAACATAAAATCCCAAGAAATCTAGCCTCCTAAAGATCATTATTTGTTGAAATTTTACAAAGACTTGTAACTCTCTTCCCACATATGTGTTATACACACAATCTATATCTATACATTCACATACACGTTTAGGTATACACACAGAGCAACCTGAATCATATTACACTATTTTGTAACTTAACAATATATACCATGAATGTCTTTCCCTGCCAATATAGATCTAGCATATCATTTTTAAGGCCTAAATAGATGTAATTAGCCAGTTTTCTACTGAAGGAACTTTAAGTTGCTTTCCTTTATTTATTTTTGCCTTCACATACAACTCTAAAAAACACACCACTTTTCAATTTTTTATTTTTATTTATTTATTTTTTGAGTTGGGCATATCACTCTGTTGCCCAAGCTGAAGTGCAGTGGCACAATCATGGTTTACCACAGCCCCAACCTTCTGGGCTCAGGAGATCCTTCTGCCCCAGCCTCCCTAGTAGCTGGGACTACAGGCACATGCCACCACATCCAGTTAATTTTTTGGTAGAGCTGAGGCCTCGTTATGTTGCCCAGGATGGTCTCAAACTCCTGGGTTCAAGCAATTCTCTCACCTCGGCCTCTCAAAGTGCTGGGATCACAGGCATGGGGCACTGCATCCAGACTCAAAAACAGATTCTTGTGTAGTTACCTTACTTTTAAAAAACTAATCCATTCACCGAGGTGCTGTTCTAGGCTCTGAGGCTACAGCTGCAAAGAAAGAGAAAATCCCTGCCCTCCTTGAGTTTTGAGTCTAAATTCCTAGAAGTTAGGCGCTTCTTTCTTATTTTTCCCTCACAGCTGGGCTGGAACCAAGTCGGGGAAAAGACGAACTTTCCCCCATCCTTGCCCACTGCTCATTTAGCCCAGCCCAGGGGCACACTTGGGGCTGGGGAGGAGACACAGCACCTTGCCAATGTCCCTGGGGGTGCCTCTGCCATGCTCATGACACAGGCCCGTGTTATACTGTGCTTTGCTGTAGCCACGGTCTGCAGCTTTCTGGAAGTAAGAAAAGGCAGCCACGAAGTCTCCACTCTTCATGTTCTCGGTCCCTGTAAGAAAGCAAAGGTCAAAGCTCACAGCTTCCTCTGTGAACTTCCGATTCTCTTTCCTTCTGTTTTGTGCTCTGAATGTTTCACTGGTTTGCCATAGCCAAGGTGGGTTCTGCCCTCCCTTAAACCTTCCTCCTGCTCCTGGTAATCACATCCAGATTGCTCCCTGCCCCAGTGCTGTCAACTGATATGTCTGTGCTCTTCCCAACCAAGGAGACTTTCTCAGAAAGCTGAATCTTGATCTGGTTGGGACAAGGAGAAAAAACAGCCCTGTGGGGTTATTCTGACCCCAGTACTCCAAACACACTGTCTCTCAGCTGCTGCCAGGGTCTCTGGAGATTCCCTGACTTTGTCCTTTCTGAGGCTTAGTAGGTCAACAGAACCCAAGAGATTGGCTAGAGTTGGTTTAGGTTGCCTGTCGCCAACAAACTCTAACCAATACAAGTGCCACTGTTCACCTTGTTTTATGAGGAAACTGGGAGCAGGGACGTAAGAGAGTCAAGACCTGAGTGCAGGTACAACCAGCTCCAAAGCTCATGCTCTTCTCACTACCCAAATGAAAAGGCACCGGGGAGGGAGCAGGGCACAGATACAACCCTCAATGCTAAAGCCTTTGTTCAAACTGTCTCTCTAGCTTGGGATCTCTCTTTCTGCCTCTACCAGCAGGCCTCCTATCCTGTTTCTGTTCTAGAATCCTCAGAACACACTCGGGCTTTAACCACTTTTTTGGCATTTACTTAACATACCAAGCCTTTTACTATAAAATAAACCATTTCAAGAGCACAAGCCCTATCTCCTCAATTAGACTGCAAAATCCTAGAGACAGAAGCAGAAGAAGAATATAGAAAGAATAACGCTGCACAGGGTGAAAGCACTATACAAACGCAAAATGCGATTATGGCTATGTTCCCTTTGAGTTCTCCCATGGTGCTTAGCACTTGCTGAACAAATGAACATGGGAGTGAAGGAACAGGCAGGAAAATTCTGAGGAGAGACTGTCTGCCCATCAGAATCACAAAAAGCTAATGAGGTAGAAGCTAGGTTCCATTCTGCCAGCAGCAAATTAAAGAAATCTGCCTCCCTGCTGCCTGCAGACTCTCTCCAGGGTTGACAGAGCCCTCTGTCCTTGAAGAGAAGACTTAAGAGGGCCAAGGATCTCACCTGCCCCCATCCCCGGCCTGGCTCCATCAATATACCCTGATCCATCTGCTCTTCTTGGTCTCTTCCTCCTCTAACCTAGACCCTACTGCCGTCAGGTTTCGCTTAACTGGAGCAGTGCCTACCTGGTCTCCTTCCCCCCGCCCCCACCATCCCTTCACCATCTCTACAATCCTCACCTGTCTATACAACAGTCAGAGAGATCTTTGGAAAAGTATATTGGATCGTGTGACTGTCCCCCTGCCTGCTCCTGCTTAAATAAAGCCCCCCAGTGGCTTACTGTCGCACTTAGAAAACCCACCCTTTCTACCTGGGCTCAGAGGCTTCACCTGACAAGGCCCCGCCTGCTTCGCTGACTCCATCTCCTTCCAGTCTTCCTGAGATCCCTAAGCTCCAGCCACACTCCCCTTTCTTTTGCTCCTTTAACAGTCGGAACTCAGACCCGCCTCAGGACCTTGCCCTTGCTGTTCCCTCCGCTTGGAGAGGACTTTCTCCAGAGGGAACTGATCGCGGCTTGTTTCCGTCAGCCAGGTCTGAGCTCAAGGGCCTCCTCTCGTGAGAACTTCCAAATCAAAGGCTAGTGTCCTTGCCCAAGACACTAGCACATTCTCTTGTTTTATTTTCTTCGTAACACTCATCGCCACCTGAAATTCTTTTTTATCTGTTTGCCAATCTGTTGTTTCTCTTTCCTTCAACTCCCATGTGAGGTCCATGAGAAGAAAGGTTTCGACTCGGGAATCCCTGTAACCCTAGCATCGAAAATAGGGACTGGCAAATGGTGATGCTCAATAATTTGCTGGGAGTAATGCCAGCCTCTCACCCCCTTGCCCACCAGATTCCGAGAGATGCTGCTGGGGTCTGGGTTGCTACATTAGAAGGCCTGCAGGGCCAAGCCACTGCGGAGTCCAGGACAATGGGGAAGCCTCCAGATGTGGCAAAGAAGTTCCTATTCATGCACCTAAGGGCTTGTTCCAAGCCTCAGAAGCCTTTCCCTTCCTAAGCGTGGCAGAGAATGCAAGGTTTCCTCCAAGACTTACTTCCCCATTCTTACATGGTAATCGGCCTCCTCTGTGTCTAGGTGTGGCCATAAGCCTATGTTCTGGAAAAGGATTTGTGTGACTGCTGAGTCAGCTTTAAAGGGAAGAGGTGGTCTTTTAGCTTCCCCACCTTCCCCTTCCCAGTTGGCTCGAATATGGATGTGAGGGTAGGAGCTGAAATGGCCAAACGGGACCTCAAGATGTAAGCCAGTTTTAGGACTGGCAGGACACATTGAGTAAGAATGGGTCCCTGGCACCATTAAGCCACCATGCCAGATTTGGTCTACCTACCTGGGAGAACATAAAACCTCTCATTTAAATCACTCCCTGTCCTGACTATATGACCCACCCCATGCCCTCGGCAGGATCCATGCAGTTACCCAGGAAGTTGAAAGCAATGGAGACACTGAGCTGGAAGAGCTGCTGAAGGGAAGTCACAGCCTCCTCGAAGGAAAGAGCTTTGGATTTCTCTTGTTCCTGGGAAAGAAGCATGAAGACTTATCACAGGATGGTTCACTATGACTGCCACTTGCCCAAGAGAGTGTCATGGGGACCCAGGTGGATAAATCTGGATAATACCTTCTTTTCACCAGCGGGCTGAGGGCGGGCTGGTTTTGCCTTGAACTTGAAGCTACTGCCGGCATGCAGGAAGCCAAAATCACTGGGACCTGCGAGGGAGAAGCCAATGCCAGGCCAAGGTAGAAGGAAAAGGTGATACTTCTCTTCGACTCCCCCAGTCTACCCTGGCTCCCCACCAAGTGCCGTTGGCAGGAGATAACTGCATCACCCCAGAGGGCAAAGGACCTCACAGGAATGACCGCTCCTTTATCTGGGAATATGCAGTAACCAATGCTCATCGGCCTACCCCGGCCTACCCTACGACACCGCCCCCCAACCCCTGCCATCCTTCTGCCAGTTCTATGAGGTAGGAACGTACCTTCCTCAGAGGAGTCCTGAGGACTGGCTGCTCTCACAGAGTTGTGTGAGGAGATGCTCCTAGGCCGAGTTGAGGGTTCTTCCTGGCCCAGCCTAGGTTCCCTGAGGCCAGTGTGCCTGGAAGCCAGGCTATCAGGGCTAGGGAGAATATGTTGCCGCAGTGCTAGAAAGACCAGCAAGAGTGGTAAGATAGCAGGGATCAGTGCAGCCTGCTCAGGTTTGACTAAGGTCTCCCTGAGAGGTTTGTTTGTTTGTTTCTTTTGAGTCGGAGTCTCACTCTGTTGCCCAGGCTAGAGTGCAGTGGCAGGCTCACAGCCACAGCAGCTTTGACCTGCTGGGTTCAGGCGATCTCTCTGCTTTAGCCTTCCAAGTAGTTTGAACTACAGATGCATGCCACCCACACCCAGCTAATTTTCTGATTTATTGTAAAGTTCTCGCCAAGTTGCCCAGGCTGGTCTCAAAACCCTGGGTTCAGACAATCCTCTAGTCTCAGCTTCCCAAAATGCTGGGATTACAGGTATGTGCCACTGCACCCAAACTTCCCTGAGATTTCAGAGACCACAGGAAGAATTCTGAAACTCCTGTGACACCTCCTTCAGCTCCGCCTCCTCTATCTCCCCGGCTAGCCTCCCTCCACGGGAGTCTAGAGGGGTTGTATTTATGCTAACTCCCATCCTAAGCACCTATGGCTGCTCTGCTTGAATTCTTCCAGTGGCAGGGAGGCCTCTACCTTATTCACTGCTGTAGTCTCAGTACCTAGCATGCTCTTTGATGGTCATAGTGATAGTGATTCTCATCATAATAATGACAAGAACTAATACTTAAACTAGTAACACTGTTCTAAGTCCTTGACATGTTTTAACTCATTTAGTCCTTCCAAGAAACACATGGGGTTTTATTATTTTTTTATTTATTATTTTTTTGAGTTGGAGTCTCACTCTGTAGCCCAGACTGGAGTGCAGCCTCCACCTCCACCCGGCCCCCACAGCCTCGACCTGCCGGACTCCGGCGATCCTTCCGCCTCAGCCTTCCAAGTAGCTGGAACTACAGGTGCGCGCTACCACGCCCGGCTGATTTTTTGATTTATTGTAGAGATGAGGTCTCGCCAAGTTGCCCGGGCAGGTCTCGAACTCGCGGGCTCAGGCCATCCACTCACCTCGGCCTCCCAAAGGCGCGGGATGACAGGCTGAGCCACCGAGCCTGGCATGGGGTTTCATTATTACCTCATTTTATAGAGACACAGGGAAGTGAAAAGTGACTTGGGCAGGGACACAAGACTAGAAAGCAGCAGTGATGGGGCTTTAGCCCTCACAGTCTGACCCCAAAGCTTCAAGCACCGGGCTATATTGCCTCTGTGCCACAGCACATAACGGGTGCATGACAAAGATTCGTTTGTTGATGAAAGGCTGAATGGATAACCCAGCTAGCTGAAGGCTGGGCAGGAAGTCACACACCCAGGATCTACAGTAGCCTAGACCCATGGGGCTTTCTCCACAGGAGGCGATGGAGGACATGGCAGCTGTGGCCCACACCCTGGGTGGACAGAACTTCCCCTCACCCCCCTTCCTCTGACTTCAGATAGGAAAGGCAAGGAGCTGCTGATGGCTTTTTTCCTGAGGTGTGTCCAGAGATGCTTCCTGGCCCAGGGAAACTCCCAGCCCAGCCCTCCTGTCCCTGGGCCTGAGAACTCACAGGAGCATGGGTGACACAGGGGAGATGAGAGGAAACGGCCCAGGGGCCTGTGCCAGGAGCAGCGTTCCACTTGCCGAGGTCCTGCTGGCAGCGACGCCTGGAAGTGGATCTGCCGTGCCAACTGCAGGGCCAGCACAGCCAAAGTGCCCTGGGAAAGACAGCACATGAGGGACACGGGCCTCCCAGGCAGCCCATCAGCCCAGCCCTGCACTTAAATGTCACTTCCTTGGGAAGACGGGCTGGGGCAGCTCCCCCCCACATGCTCTCTCAGCACCCATACTTCTCTAGAGCCCGGATCATGCTGTTGCTTAAATCATCACCTCTCCCATCAAGCATCTAAGGTCTGCCTCTTCTGTGAGTCTCTAAGGGCAGGGACCAGGCATGTTTGCTCACCAATGTATCCCTGGTGCCTGTACAGTGCTAAGACATAGTTGGGGCCTAATAAGTACATACTGGATAAATGCAGAGTGAGTGACTGAATACACAAAGACTAAGCAGGGAAAAAGATAACGTGGTAAGTCAGGACTCAGCAGAAAAATCCAGTGACAGGTCAGATTTCCCCATCAGGTTCACCCTCCGTCTGGCCCCCTACTCCCTTCCCCCCAGTCAAGCCACCGTAACCCACACATCCTCACACATGCTTGGTGCAGGTGTTTCTTCTCTGACAGGTCTGCAAAAGACCTGGACTGACTCTTATTTCAGAGATTGCTTGGTTTTTGCTGTTTCTCCCTGTGTTGAGCTTAGGAAGGGACTCCCAGAAACTTATTTGTTGCATAAAATGGCAAATAAGACATACTCTTTGCCCTCGTGGTGAAGTTTACATCTTGCGTTGAAAAAGAAAGACAAGACACAAGTACAGAGAAATAAATATAATAACTACCAATTATGCTAAATGTCAAGAAGGAAAGAAATCAAGGAGTTACACAGAGCATAAGAGGGAAGCCTGACAAGGCAAGGGGTCAGAGAAAGTGGGGGACCTTCCCCATCTCTGTGGGGTGATGTGTGAGCTAAGGTCAGAAGAGAAGGCACCAGCATTGTGAAGAACAAGTATCCATGGCATTGGGGAGAACTTGCGTGCAGATCCTTTCATATGGGCAGTAGTGACAGAACCCAGAGATGACACAAGGACTACTAGAATCCAGGCCCAGTGCCCAAAAGGACTTACTGTGGGACTGCACTAGGGTCCAGAACTTCTTTGGCAAAGTGAGAAAGCACTTTTCTCTCCAGGGTGTGTTATGGCCCTAGACCACAGCTCCCCAGAGAGAAGTATCCCTGTCATGGAGATATCCTATGCTATTGACACTAATTTACAGAAATTAAGGCTCAGAGGAGTCAAGTAACTTGCCCAAAGTATGACAGCATGACAGCAGCAGGGATGAGATGACATGAGCCATGGAGACATGAGAGTCATATACGTGCCAATTTTGTTCAGCATACCTTATACAGCAGAACTTTTACCTGAAACTTTGCCTATTGGAACTTGTATTCACGACTGAGCATGTGACCTCATAGGTCAGATCCAACAAATACTTATTGAGCAACTATTATGAGCTAGAATCTGTACCAGGTCCTTTTACAACCATACTAGGTGGGAAACCAAGCTGTAGAAGATGACCTCCAGAGTTAAATTCGGCTCCTCCACTTAATAGCTGTGTGGCCTTAAGCAGGTTACCTAATATTTCACAGCCTGAGTTTCCTCATCTATAAAATGAAGATTATATTTCCCTTGCAAGACTTTTATAAGGGTTAAACAAGATAGTGCATGCATGATACTTTCCCTGAATACATAATGCTATTTATTATTATTTACTGTAAGCTACAGGAAGGCAAGAATATATCTACCCTGTTCTCTGCTATCTCCCAAATGTCTAGCAAAAATGCCTGGCTCAGAGGCAGTATTAAATAAATGTTTACTGAACGAAATGAGGAACAAATAACATGGTGGATGGGGCGGAAGCGGCCCTATCTCTATGACTATGCTCCAATACCTTGGGTTACTAATTGCGTGGACACAATGATGCCCTAGTTCTTACTTCCAGGTTAGGCTGCACTGTACACGCAGGATCATTCTCATTCACAGTGAAGGTCAAGGACAGGGCTGGGGAAACCTTACCCATGATATGGCATCCCACAGGGTGTTCCGGGAGACACAGGTAGGCATCCATTGGAAGGCATTCTTCCATCCATGGGAATTTGGACCCCTGCTCCTGCCTGGGCCATGGGGACCTGGCCTAAATGATGAAATAAGAGGCTGTCCAGTTCTGTCCAAAATGGAAGAAAAGGGAGACCAAGGGAGGAACTATGTGGCAGAATGGCAGCATCTCACCTCTCAGGGTTGGGCACAGGGACCAGCAGGGTAGAGGTGGAAGCCTGAGGCCCATCTGGGCTGATGTACTTGGGGGTCACTCCCCGGACGCCGGGTCCCAGCAGACGGGGAAGAGCTGTGCAGAGTGAAAAGAGTCAGTCATCTCAACAGGAAGAGGACTGAGGCAAAAGACTGACTTGTGATTGAGCCGCGCCCCAGAAACACTAGAGTCGCTGGCACCTGCCTAGCAGAGGTTCTTTTTTTTTTGAGTTGGAGTCTCACTCTGTCACCCAGACTGGGGTGCAGGCCACTGCAGCCACGACCTGCTGGGCTCCGGCGATCCTGCCGCCTCAGCCTTCCGAGTAGCCGGAATGACAGGCATGCGCTTCCACGCCCGGCTGATTTTCTGATTTATTGTAGAGATGAGGTCTCGCCAAGTTGTCCAGGTGGGTCTCGAACCCGTGGGCTCAGGCAATCCACTCACCTCAGCCTCCCAAAGGCGTGGGATTACAGGCTGAGCCACCGAGCCCGGCTAGAGGTTCTTTTTAAATTTTATTGTAGAGACAACGTCTCGCCAAGGTGCCCAGGCTGGTCTCAAACCCCCGGACTCAGGCAATCCTCTCGCCTCTGCCTCCCAAAATGTTGGGATTACAGGCATGAGCCACCGTGCCCAGCTAGCAGTTGCTCTTAAACAAGAATCTTCTGCCTAGTACAGATTCTTGGGTACCAACCCAGAATCAATAAACCAGGATTTCTCAGAGTATCTACGTTTTTAGATAGTCCATGTGATTCGCATACCCTCCTACAGCAGCCAACCATTGCTCTATATGACCAGACATTCATGCACAGACTCTCTCACTCAATGCTTGGGGCTCCTTGTCTCTAAACACCTTCTCCCCTCCATTCACCTCTAATTGCCTTTCATTCGCTCCGCCCACCATCCCATTTGACTCCTCCCCCTCCAAGAGCCCCACCCCTTTCCTCGGATCTAAGCTCCACCCCCTTCCACCTAGCCCCACCTACACCTCAAATTCCAACAAGTCCCTCACTGCTCAGGCGTACGCCCGCCCCTTTTCCGGGCCCCGCCTTCTCAGCTCTAGCCCCGTCCACTACGGCTCTAGCTGTTTCGCGGACCTGCCCCCTCCGAGTTAGTCTCAGCGGCCCCAAGACGCTCGCTTCCGACGCCCCTCACCTCGGCCCAGGAGTCCCGGGAGGCGCCACATCTCGTCGCCCGCACCACGGAGCGCTCGTAGCCGGAAGAGTGAGGCCACGCCACGGGGCAGCGGCGGGGGCGGCCGCCACGGCGCCCCGAGCGGCGAGTCCCCGGGGAGGCCCTCCTCCAGCCAATAGGAAGCGGCCCCGCCGGAAGCCGGCGCTCGGAAAGGAAGTGGGGCTGTGGGCGGGCGTGAGCCGGGGAGTTGGGCTGCGCAAGGGCGGGGGCTGTGGCCCGGCCTGGGGAAGCGGCTTCTCTCCGCCTTACGCCCAGGAGAGGGTCACGGGGCACGAAGCCGAACGACTCGCGAGCGGGACCACGGAGGCGTGGGCCACAGCGGCGAGGACTTGCAGAGCCCGTGCAGCCGCGAAAGGAGAAAGGCTTCCCCGGGCCCCAGACTGTGGCGGAGAGGAGCCTTAGGTCCGACAAAGGGGCCACCTACTTGGGGATGGCGGCCGGGTCCCGCCGCGGAGGCCACGAGAAGCTGCGCGGGGCGGGGTTTTGCTTCCGGGTTCCAGCTCCGGCCCAGCCTTGCTCTCTGTCCCCTCGGACCAAGCCCTTCGCTGCCCTGGGCCTCAGGCTGCGCCACGATGGAGTCCCATGGAATGGTCAGATGGGGTGACTGGCCCGACAGGCTGAGTCTTGAATTGCTCCTTTCCAAATACCTGAGAGGAGGCGCCACCCCGCCCGGCCCCTACACCGTTACTCTGAGCCCTCGTCTTCAGACCTAGCCAAAGCTGCGTGTGTGTTCTTTTGCGCAAAATCGTGATTTCGCCACACTTGAATCCCTGAAATGAAGGAGCGCATTCAAACGTAGGGTGTTCAGACTTCTTCCCCTCTGCCCTCCCCCCCGCAGGTGACATTTAGGTGAGGGTAAGTCGCTACCCGGAGTAAAAGTACCGGGGGACCTGCTTTTAGGCCGAGGCATGTGGTGTGAACGTTGTATTAGCTTGATAGACAGTTTTTGAGCCATATGTCAGTCACTGTCCTGGGATCTGAGAAGACAGAGGAAGTAAGGAGCTTTTGTGACCTCCGGGAACCCTGGGCCGATGGATTCAGAGTGGGCTTTGGAGTCCCACAAATCTGGGTTTGGAGCCCAGCTTTCTTCCTTCGTAGCTGTCACCCTGCACAGGTTCCTTAGCCACACTAAGCCTCAGGTTCTTCTATGATACCTCGTGCAGTTGTGAGGTTTAAGTAAAATAATACATTAAAAAGTTTCACATAGTTCCTGGCACACAGAGCCCAGTAAATGTAAGTTACTACTAATTATAAAAGGGGAGAAGGTAAGCAGACAAACATAACAGATACTATTACAGTAGTGACATGACCAATGTGTTGATACTAAGGAAAGATTCAGAGAAGTAGTTGCATTTGAGCTGGGCCTTTAAATAGAAGTAAGAGCTTGCCAGGTGGAGAATGGAGAAAGGCATTGCAAAGAAGAAACAGTAAATAAACGCCCAGAAGTTTGAACATTGGGAAAACCAGAAATACCCTGCTTTGGAATTTGGGACGGCCACCTATCCTATTCCTTGTGTTGCAACCTCAAAATAGCAGACAAGTATGCTGGCTCAGCTCTGTTCCTCCTCCTGGGACTTTCATACCCTCCTTCCTTTCAAACTGCAGTTTGTATCATTCTTCAAGGCTCAGCTCAACCCCAACTCTTCAGTGAAGACTCAGCTGTTGGAGCCCTCACTGCTCCCTGCCTTTCCCAGTTCCTGTAGCACTCAATTTCTTGCTACACAGTTTAGCAGTAATTATATGTTGTCCTGTTATTTCATTATCTCATTTGTGTAAGTCCAGTCTCCTACTTCTTTCCCTCAGGGCAGGGATGGCATTTTCCCATTTCATATCTCACATAGGGTTTAACATAAACTTGAGCCCACAGAATATGTTCAAACAGTGCCTGTTGACTTGACACCTTGTGCTGATGACAGCCAAGAGCACAAAGCCCCAATCGTGGGCTTTACTGATTTGAGTGCAGATGTATTCATTTCACATGCAAACTGTCAGGTCAGGGAGCTGAGCCAACACCACGGGTTTGCAAAGAATTGCACAGAAATTAAATTAGGAAAAATAGTTTATCTAGAAAGTAAATCAGAGAAAAAGGGTGGATCCACATCTCTGAGATTGAAGAGGGGATCAGACGCTTTTTTCTTTTTTTTTTTTTTTTTTAGTTGGATTCTCACTCTGTCACCCAGGCTGGAAGTGCAATGGCACACTCACAGCCACCACAGCCTCGACCCGCTGGACTCGGGCAACACTTCCACCTCAGCCTTCCAAGTAACTGGAACTACAGGCACGTGCCACCATGTCTGGCTAGTTTTTTTGACTTCTTGTAGAGACGAGGTCTCATTAAGTTGCCTAGGCTAGCCAGGCTCAGTAGCTCAACCTGTAATCCTGCACTTGGGGAGGCTGAGGTGAGTGGATTGCCTGAGCCCACGGGTTTGAGACCCGCCTGAGCAACTTGGTGAGACCTCATCTCCACAATAAATCAAAAATTAAGCTGCGCTCAGTGGCTCAGCCTGTAATCCCGCGCCTTGGGAAGCTGCAGTGAGTGAATTGCTAAGCCAATGGGTTCGAGACCCGCCTGGGCAACTTGGTGAGACCTCATCTCTACAATAAATCAAAAAATCAGCCGGGCATGGTAGTGCGTGCCTGTAATTCCGGCAACTCGGAAGGCTGAGGCGGAAGGATCGCCGGAGCCCAGCAGGTCGAGGCTGCGGTGGCCGGGAGAGGCCACTGCACTCCAGTCTGGGCGATTGAGTGAGGCTCCAACTCAAAAAAAAAAAAAGTTGCCTGGGCTGCTCTCGAACCCCTGGGCTCAGGCAATCCTCTCTCCTTCGCTTCCCAAATTGCTGGGATTATAGGCATGGGCCATCACAGATGGCTGGGACCAAATGCTTAAGGAATATTTCACAGCAAATGCTTGAGGTTGAAAGCTTCCTTTGCTGTGGGCAGACAAGCATTCACAGGAGCTGACCTCATGGCATGGGGTCTGTTTTCGTATCTCTGACAGCAGATGGAGAGTGGGTCAGTCACGAGCACATACACAAAGGTGGGCCAGTAGTAAGATGGGTGAGTCAGTCACAGGTGGCTAATCACATAGACAAGAAGGGCCAGACTGGTAGCTGAAAAACAAATTCTTGGGAGATGTTAATGTCTTGTGACTTGTCTAGGATTTCGGGAAAGGATTATTGTCGTGTATGAGACCAGAGAAACTCCATTTTGAACTCTGTCCTTTCACAAACTGTCATTGAGGGCCCTGTTGGAAGCTAGTTGAAGAGCGTTGAGGGAGAGGATAGGGCATCTGTCCCCAAATATAATACAGCAGGACAGCATTGTTTGTCCTCAGAAACCTATTCGTCAACAGACCACTTGTGTGAGGGTAGAGGGCGAGGTCAGCAGGAGCCCACACCAGATCACCTGTTTGGGACTGCCCACAGGAGCGCTTTCAGGAATGGCAACTGCCCGAACCGCCAGGCTCCAGACCATCAGCCATTGCTGTCTGTTTCAAGCTCTATGTGGTTGGATGATGACCCAATTCTTCTATAAAGTCTCTCGAGCGGACACCATCCCTCACCAAAGGTAACTGACTATCTTACATCGGGAGCCTCTGGCCCAGCTGTCCAGTCAATCATTACTTCTCACGATGTGTACACGTGCCATCGTGTGCTCACACCATGAGTGCCCTGGACATGCATTGTTGCCATTGTTTTTGTAGGCATTCTTGATTTGCATTAATCAAATGTTGACAGTATATTTAGTGCAGGAGAATGTCCTGAGTATATAACAATTTTTAAAAATGGATGTGGTCCCTGCCCTCACAGAGAAATAGTCTAGTTGGGCAAACGCAGTCAGTGAGCAATTAAAATACAGAATGGTGTTTTAGTTATTTATTGCAGCACAAGCACCCCAAAATGTATGACTCAACACAATCATTTTCTAATCTCTCACAGTTCTGCAAATTGTCTGGGCTCAGCTGGGTAATACTGCTGGTCTCGCTTGGAGTCTCTCATGAGTTTGCAGTCAGATGGCAGCTGGAGCCGGAGTCACAGGGAGACTCCAGTCGGGCCCTGGAAGGTATTGCTGTTATAACAAATTAGCAAAAACTTGGTGGCTTCAATCAACAGAAATCCATTCTTTTACAGTTGTGGAGGCTGGAAGTCTGAAACCAAGGCGCCAGCAGGGCCAGAAGTTTGAAATCAAGGTGGGCCTCTTTCTCCTTCCTGTCATCTCAGGGCTCCTCTGCTCCACATGGCCTCTCCAGCTGGGGAGCTGAATATCTTACATGGTGGCTCAGAGCCCCCAAAAGTGGAAGCTGCCAGGCTGCTTAAGACTCAGACCCAGAGCCGGTCTGTATCACTTCTCCTGTACTCAATGGTTACAGCAATCCCAGGACCAGCCCTGAAGCCAGGTGGGAGGGGAAGACACAAGGTGGTGCATACTGGGAAGTGTGGTTCTTTGGAGATGAGTGAGTACTATGGTGGGGAAAGTACTGGGTGCCATGGGAACACCTAGGGGAGGCCTGTAACCTAGCCATGGAAGTCAGGAAGGCTTCCTGGAAGCAGCAACAGCTAAACTGACAAACCCGAATGACGAGGATTGGAAGGAGCCAGATGAAGAAGAGGAAAGAAAGGCACCTTTGAGGCACGGGACACAGCTGATGCAAAGTTCCAGGGAGGCAAAGGAAGCTGTAGCCTGGGAGGCAGGGAGGAGTGATAAGATAGTGACAGACCTTTAGTGTGGAAAGGTAAATGGCACTAGGTCATAAAGCCTTGTAAGCCCCTTGAAGATGTTTGGGCCCTGTCCAGAGGGCATGGGACACCTAGGAAGGGTTTCAGCAGTGGGATGGCCAGGCCAGAAGGATCCAAAAAAGGCACTGGCTGCTGGGTGGGGCATAGAGGGGTCAGCCCTCATTCCCACCCTGTCCCTTCTAGAAGTCACCTCACTTTCAGCAATGAAAAAGCTGAGTCATCACCTCAGCACCAAGACCAGCTCTTTCTACTTTTAATTAGTGGGAATTTTTTATTATAAAAGAGTGCAAATGCCTTTATAAAATGTTCTGTTT